ACACACACACACACAAATTAGCCAGGCATGCTGGTGTGCACCTGTAAGTCCCAGCTACTCAGGAGGCTGAGGTTAGAAGATCACTTGAGCCCAGGAGGTGAAGGTTCCAGTGAGCTGAGATTACACTATTGCACTGCACAAGGGTCTCACTTGTGGCCCAGGCTGGTCTGGAACTCCTGGCCTCAAGGGATCCTCCTGCCTTGGCCTCCCAAAGTTCTGAGATTACAGCATGAGCCAGCACACCTGGCCTAAATTCCTTTCTGTGTGTGGGTATAGAGATAATAGGTGCATTGGCTGGGCACTGTCGCTCACGCCTGTAATCCCAGCACTTTGGGAGCCTGAGGTGGGCAGATCACTTGAGGTCAGGAGTTTGAGAACAGCCTGGCCCAGATAATGAAACCTGGTCTCTATTAAAAATACAAAAATTAATCGGGCATGGTGGCACATGCCTGTAATCCCATCTAGTGGGTAGACTGAGGCAGGAGAATCACTTGAACCAGAAAGGCAAAGGTTGCAGTGAGCCGAGATCCCACCATTGCACTCCAGCCTGGGCAGAGAAGTGAGACTCTGCCTAAAAAAAAAAGAGAGAGAGAGAGATAATAGGTACATTAAGATAGTTTCATCCCGCTTTGGTTCTTTATCCAAATGGGGCCTAAAACTGTGTAAGAATATAGACTTTGAAGCTCCATAGACCTGTCTTGGATATTGGTTCTGTCCCCTGATTATAAAGCTTTAGTACCTTAGGGGCTTTTGGTGTCATGTATATAATAAAAATGCATGTGCACCCAGGTTTTTAAGCCACTGTGCTTCACCCATGGCAGTGTGACTTGTCAAAATACCCAAGAGCAGAGCAGCAGTTGTATCTGCTTGCATCACCCCGCTTCCATTACACGTCAGTGAAATCCGCTGTACCCCAACACACACATCAAAATGTTATTCTTGTTACAGCTTCTTGCAACTCTTCAAAGAAGGAGGCTTTATTGAAAAACCTACTTCTGATTAACCACCAACTTTACCCTCCTTTATCATTTCAGTCCACTGCTGACTTTCTCTAATTATCTTCATCATGAATGGCTTAAAGACTTGACTTAACATATTCATGCATCTGTTCAGCAAATTTTATTGAACCTAAACATCCTGAAATTTAAGTTCACAGTTGCAGAAAACAGAGAGAAATAAAGTCACATTGATTGGCGCTTGTATACAAGGGGAATTATACTTTAGGGCAATTATATTGTTCTCATTTGGGGCATTCATTTGGCCTTACATGTTACTTAGACTGGAGTTTATCCTCTTTTAGATGGGAGTCCTCATTGGTGACCCAGGGGAGCATGGAAACTGCCCAAGAGCTAGAGCCTGAAATCTCATATGTCTGACAAGCTCAGAGCTGGCAGAGCTTGAAGCAGTCACTTAGCTTTGAAAAAGCCCACAACGTGTGATGTGTGGCAAGGCTTCTTCTTAATCCTTTTCATAGTCTTATCTCCTTAAAAATTCCATTAATTTGCTTATAAAATTGAGAACCATAAAAGACAGTTATATAAAGCAGAGGTTCTTTGAAGTTTCTACTTTAAAATGTTTTTCTTTAACATTAAAGTCAGGTAAATTATATCCCCAGATCTCATTATACGTAAAAATAAATTTCAGAGGGATTTCAGGCAAATGTAGTAGACACTATAAAGGAAGTTAAAACAAATGACAGACTAGGAGAAAACACTTGTAATCTACGTAGTAGATAAAAGATTAAGACCCAGAATGTATAAAGAGTTCTTAGAAATTAGTAAGAAAAAAGCTAATAACTTAATATTTTTAGAAAGGGCAAAAGCTATGCAAATGTAGGACTTTTTAAAAGGCAATAAACTTTTGAAAAGATAACATCCAGTCATCAAAAAAATGCCAATAAAAACAATAAGATTATTTTTTACCATTCAGATTAGCAAAATTATAGGTAAGGAGATAGAGAAATAGATATCATCCACTGGTGGGAACATAAATTGATTTTCTTTTTTGAGGACCATTTGACAAAATCTGTAACAACTGAAAATGTGTATGTCTTTTGATCCATCAGTACTACTTCTTGTACTTACTGTATCCTAAAGAAGGTCGCCATTTGTCGCAGGATGTTCAAGTGATGATTTTTGTAATAGCGAACAAGAAGATGGGCGGTGCCATTGTTTCCAATAGGAGAATGATTGCAGTATAGTTTTACAGTGGTGTATTCAGCCATCTGAAATAGCAAAATATTTCAGCCATCTGAAATATTGAAACAAATAGCAAAATAGAAGATCCAAACATAGGAAGATCTCCCATTTGTTAAGTGGGAAAAAAATCTGTATAGAACTGTTCAACGACATAGTATGAACATTCTTTTGTGAGAACATACTGTGTGTCTATGTGGGTGAATGCATTGAAAATGATCCAAGATAGGCTGGGCACAGTGGCTCACGCTTGTAATCCCAGCACTTTGGGAGGTCGAGGCGGGTGGATTGCTTGAGGTCAGGAGTTTGAGACCAGCCTGGCCAACGTGGTAAAACCCCGTCTCTAAAAAAAAAAAAGAACCAGAAAAAGAAAATGATCCAAGATATACACTGAATCACTGTGGTTACTTCTAGGTAGCAGAGTAGAATTGATTTGGGTATTGGGGTGTAACTGGGAAGAAGTTAGAGAGAGAGGAACTTTCTACCTTATAATCCTCTAACATATTTTATGAAATTTCATGAGCATGTATTTATGTATGCCATACTTTTTAAAGTAATATATACTTGTAGCTGATAATTT